CGCTTCATCTAGAAAGACGAAAACACTAATTTGAACATTGGCTAGCCTAGTGACTCACTACACTCACTGTAGACATATACAGCTTACGCATTTGGAGGCATCAAGGTTTCTTTGGATAAACAGGTATGCACATTACGCACTTTATTTCAGCGCAAGAAAGTGACAAAGTTCTAACAAACTTTTTTTTCTAATTAATTCAAAAAAAGATGAATTTAGATGTTCGCAGCCGAACCAAAATCAGAAGGATACACGGAATTTTTTTGCAGAACGTCTACTCACCCAAGCAACACGCTCTCCCATTCCTCCTAGCTCAAGATAAGCTGAATTGAACTCGGCACGAAGTTTATCGTCAAGTGGTTCCTCCTTGCCAGCGATCAAGATTGTGGAACAAACTAGAGTATCCCATTAAAATGCATCCTAGCACATAAATAAACAAGTATAGTGCTAAGCTCACCATCAAGAATCCTCTCAGGAGCTCCTTTCATCACAAGCAAGTAAGACTCGCTATTAGGAATGTCATGGATAGAAACCTTAAAAATACTTGAAAGTAAATATCTCTTGAAGGCGGATTTATGTCATTGTTTCATGAAAGATTATGAATAGATAAGGCCGGACTGGAGAATTACCTGATATTTGTTGGTGGAGTTGAAGGGAATCTCGGCGATTTTCGGAGATTTCTCACGAGCGGCGACTACATTTCCAACGGTAAGCTCGGTGAACTTGAGCAATGCGATCTCAGAAGCATCACCAGTGCAATCGCGGCGAAGTACTGGGATGTCCTGCTGTCCAGGCTTGAACTCAGCTCTGAAAGAATACAAAGGCAGTAAGATGGCAAACGCGGCCTATTGAATTGCTCCCTGTCTTCCAGTTCAAGTTTCTAACTGCGGATTATTGTTCCACTTTTAGTTACTTTTTAGCATTCCTCGCCAACTCCCTATCTCATAAACGACATTGTGAAACCACCCTATATAGCCCAAGGCGTACGTCAGAAAAAGGTCAGAGGAACAAAAAAGGTAAGGCACATCTTTTTCTCATTGAATGACGGTGAGTGAAACACATACAGCACCATTCAGTGAGCGCAGCGCGTTTAGCCACTCTAATATCCCTTCTTTTAAACAAAAGTGAATCTACTAATAAAAACCCAAATTTGGGCAGAAATTCATTCCACAGCTAAGCTCTGTCCCTACCTGTTGCAAAGGCAGGCAATGCGGAGAAGAGCATCCAATGTTGGCCCACCCTTACTGGCTGCCACGCTAGACTGGTTTTCGGTAGTATCACACTCTTCGATTGCCTTATCGTACCTGAAAGTTCACAAAAACCTGCATTACTGTAAAGGCCTCTGTAGACTTTTGCAAAAGAATAAAAAGAGGCACTTACCACATATGAGCGACTGTCATTCGATTTTGTGTGAGAGTTCCGGTCTTATCCGAACAGATGGTGGATGTCGAACCAAGAGTTTCCACAGCTTCCAGATTCTTCACCAAACAGTTCTTGCTGGCCATTCTCTTTGCGGTCAAAGTAAGACATACGGTTACGGTAGCGAATGAGACCCTCTGGTACATTTGCGACAATAATACCTGAAACATGAAATGATGAGGATTTTATTCAATTTTGCAATTAGCACTGTAAATGAATAAAACAAACCACAAGCAGACCACAGCCAGTGATATCCAGGTGAAAAGCAATGATGAAAAACGACACTCCAAGGAATACAGCGACTCCTGTGATCAGATGGATGAAATGCTCGATCTCACGCGCAATAGGTGTCATTCCAGTGTCCAAGCCGGAAGCAAGATGTGCAATGCGACCCATGACCTTGAACGGTAACATGTTAGAAATAAATAATTAACTGAAATCTGGCACTTCCTCACATTAACGGAAAAGTACAGTATTATCTCCGGTATAAATGACAATTCCCTTTGCGGTTCCTTCGACTGCGTTGGTGGAGAAGAAAGCAATGTTGCGAGTTTCCAACGGATTCTCATTGGTGCAGTCGGGAGAACGTGACTGTGGCTCGGACTCACCAGTAAGCGATGAGCTTGTCCACTAAACCATTATCGATATGGAGTACAGCAGAATGTCAATGAAAATAGCTCTGGAATGTGTCGATGGCAGAAGTCAGGTTAAATATGTGTGGACAACAGGCAGCAGTGTGTGGAGAAGTGAGATAATCCAAGAGGCGCGCCTTGAATTTCGAAAGGTGAAATGCGTTCGCTATTGAAAATTACCTTGCGTGTATGCCGCATCCACGAATCTGCCACGTTTCTCTGTTTCATTTGTGAGCGCATTCGGAAAAGGAGATCCCTTACCATGAGACTCATCTGAGAGATCGCCGGCGTAAAGAGTACTTGTTTTGAGACTTCCTTGTGAATAAGTGTATTGAAAAGCGTCTCTTTGAGCTAATACTTAATCCTCTTCAAGACTGTTAAGCATGGTTCATTTTTCTACGCCGAAAGAACTGTCCTAACTAAGTCAGCTTTGAGATACGTATTCTTCTATTATCCTATTCTATATATTTTCCAGCTCCGTAATCTTTCTAAACTCATCGACAACTATAAAACTATGAGAGCGTTGGTGAAAGGTTCAAAAAAGATGCGGCAAATCATACCTTGAAACCAAAAGCGGAAATGATGCGGATATCGGCTGGCACGCGATCACCGCCTTTCACTTCGACGATGTCACCGACGACCAGTTCCTCCGTTCGGATTTGTTGCTTCTGTCCATCACGATGAACGAGAGCGAACTACAATTTCGAATGGTTATTGATTACTTATGGAAAGCAAAGCCTCACTGGAAGTGGGAGTAGGAAATCCCTCAGGATTTTCCCTTCTCAATTTTCCCTAATTCATGGCAGCTGGTACGACATACCGTGGGAACCATGTTCTTGAAGGAATCCATAATCTTGCTCGATTTGCTTTCTTGGTAGTATTGGAAACATCCGGTGATCACGACGACAGTCATCAGTACTATACCGAGATACAACTGTAAAAGAGATCGATAACAACATGAAGATTTCATGACACTATGCACGAAAAATACACACATTGTCCTTAGATGGATACTCCATGGTGAAGTAGTCGACAGAGTAAGCGACGTAGCACAGGAAAGCTCCAACCTGAAAACAATAACCCTTATTTCAAAACTTCACTAATTACATGATTGAATTATGTGATTGCATGATCGCAGAAGCAACTAACCCAGAGAAGAAGAGCGAACCCTCCGAAAAGATTCTTGCAGAATTTAATCCATTCTGGAGTGGTTCTTGGTGGCGATAAGGCATTGGGACCATCTCGAGCCAAGATTTCTGCGGCCTTTGCTCTTGTAAGACCCTGAGAATACGAGAAAAAATACCGTAAGAGAAAAAAAGTGAAAACGTCAAGAAATGCAATTCTACTGGAAGTTGAAGAATGAAAAACGAAGAAAATACACAATTTTCCTAGCCCATAAAAGGATATCGTCAAACATCCTTTCACTGCTTATGGTGATCCATTGCTCAGTTATGTGTATAGAACTGATATTAGTAACGATAGCCGAAAGACAGAAGTGACCTTTGTTAGGAACAGAAAATTGTGTGAATCCACCTACTTATTTCAGTCAAATAATTTAGGTCCAGGAAAACGCCCAATCGACCTTAAAGTACAACTATTCCTGAGAGAAAGGAAAACTCAGATTCACTCATTATATTTGCTCACATAGTCTACAAATCAAACACAAGTAGCACCCATTTCCAAAACTCTCACGAAAACTCGTCTCTCCCAGTTATATTTGTTTTTCTATAATAGAATTACCCTTTTTCAGTTTCTCCTATCATTGAGAAGATCGCTTTAAAACGATAAAATCAACGACCGGTCGACCGTCGCCGATCGAAGTAACCCATTCTGGCGCGTGAGATTACACTGCGCGTGTTTCGCTCTAACCTATCTCTATTCACACTTGGATGCCTAATAACCACCACTGACTTCATAAAGGCCACACACAGCGGTGGAACCTTGGCAATTGCGATAAAGCGGCATGCCATGTGTATTTGGAGGCACAGTGAACACAAAGCTTTGAATGAATGAATGGCGTGCGGAAAAGCGTGAAATCAAGGACCAAGTTGGTTTGCAATACTGAAGTTTCTGCTAATATTTAAGTCATGGTTCAGGTCTACCAAGATGATAACACTTCTAAACCCGATTACAAAGTAATGCCCCCGGATCCTTGATAAGTCTCACTATAAAAATAAAACATCTGTCCAAAAATAGCTGAGATTGCGTGTCCAAAGACCAACGAGTTAATGTCTTACTATTACGGCGGAAGAGAAGATAAGAGAACTACGTCAAGAGCAAATTTGCAGCAAGAAGGAAGATGCTAAGGGAAAGCGGATTAAATAGTAACGATAAAGATCACTTGCGAATTTAGATTAAACCAACTTACAGTTTCGAGGTTTGAGCCATACCTTGCCACCAGTTCTTCCATTGGGATGGTATGCTCATCCTGAAAATGCAATTTCAGTGTGCATCGCAAGAAAACTGCATTCGATTTTTTCACAAACGTACCATCTTAACCTCCTGCTTGAGCTCATGGAGATCATTTGCCTTATCCTTGGCCTTTCCCATTGTCTGAAAGCAAATTTCCAACAAATAGACGACTCAATATTTGAGCGAAGTGCACAAATGAAGAAGCAGGGTTTCAAAGGGCTTAAGAATTGAAAAAAGACGTAGGAAGCTTTTCGATTGATTGACTACTGTGATAGACGTGGCATGACAAGCACAAACGATAGATAAGCGGAGCAGAGTTGCGGGGAAACTCAACGGGAAGCGCGGACCAAATGTAAACAGAAGAGAGAGTCAAGGAGAATCCTATTGTGAGCGTAAGAGAGTCTCGAGGGCGAGGACGTGCCCCCGTCATCGCGGGCAAAAACCCAAGGGAAAAGCTTGTCGTTGCATCGCCGAGCAGACTCGGCAGACGCATCTCGACTGCAAACTTCATTTCGCTTCCTGTCACTCTCAATCAAAAGACTTTATGCTTAAGTTTTTATTTCAAATCTGACAAGAGAACTGAGGAAAAGAACGTCGGGATAAAGATTTCCAGCTTCAATCTGATAGTTAGTGGATTTAGTTCAACAACCCTTTTAGACAAATAATTAGGGTCTCATCCAGTAAGGGGGGCATGTGGTGTGACAGTTCTTGCCGGCTACAGAAATTCCAATTTTTGCAAGGGGAGGGAATCCCCGGGGTGCGTGAACCATTTCGCTTAACTTTTACACCCACCCCGGAGCTTCCCTCCCTGAAAAAAGTGGATTACTTCATGCAATATGAACTGTCGCAGCACATGCCCCCCCTTACTGGATGAGACCCAATAATTGTCCCTCGGAGTGAAATCTAGGAACGTATCTACATCATTTGTTTCTTGGGTGTGGTTCACTAGGACAGAAAGCGACTTTTTCGCGTTTCGCAGCGCGAAACTTTTTCGCTGCGGGAACCCCAGGTCCACCACTGATCAGGAGTGGACCTGAGGTTCTTGCAGCGAAAAAAGTTTCGCGTGCGAAAAAGCGGAAAATTCGCTTTCTGTCCTAGTGAACACACATGTATAACTCAGATAGGTTTTACTTCGCATATCCGTAGCTTTTACAAATACTACACACAAATAGCCCATTCTCGCGCGACCCTTGAGTTGGAAGCGATAAAATTTGACGATTTTTTGTTTTCGCTAGAAGGAGAAGGCAGCATATGGTATATATTGTAGAAAGTAGAGCAGGAAAATGTACGAAAACCTGCCATAATGTATCTTTCGGAAAAAGACTGACTGCTTTTCCAGCACCAACTATAGAGATTACACTCCATGATCATGAAGCTATCTTGAAAAATGGAAGCACTGAACTATGAAGCATGATAAGTGATCGAACTGGCACGGCGCTTTGTCTAGAATCAAACAACCACAAGTTTAGATCACTTTATTAATGGTTCGGTGGTTAGTTTTTCGATTCTGTACTAGGTTTTCGTTGATCATAGAAGAATGCTTATACCAACATAACAGCAAAGAAAAATAAGCGCGTTCTGTAAACACAAAAAACTTATCCACTAAACAAACAAAAATATAGACATCAGTCTGTGTAATGAAATTGAGTGCTTAGGGGACAAGAGAAATATTCCAGTACTTAACTTTACTCAGCAGAGCGGAAAGACCTCACCTATAAACGCAACACGAAATTGAGGAAATCTTAAAAAGGATTCCAGTTGACACGGAAGACGGTTGAAGCGCGGTGGCGACGCAAATGAGTGGCTACGGGGCGAAAGGGGCGGGAGAGAGCGGCTGGCGAGAGGAAGACGATGGCTGTCAGGCTTCGCCTAATCAATAGCATGACGGACCAGCCGACGTCCTGCTGCGGCGACCAACCGGCGAGCCCTACATGCAACTGCCGCTGAATCCCCTCAGGCTATAGACGAACTTGTGGGAGGCACTGGCACCTGGCAGGGCACCGTGGCAAGATTACCGGTTGTCAAAAGTTGCAAAGATCCACTCGAAGAAGTTTATTCAGGCACTGTTTACCCATGGCATATGGTACCCGGCCACTCAAAAATCACGACAGTTTTTTTTTTGATAGAAATGTTTGAAAAAAACTAATGTGTATCTAGTTTCGATAGGATGGCAAATTTGAACCAGAAAGATGAGAATTTTCGAAATGAGAAGGTGCTCCGAGGTGGATAATGATTACAGCCTATTCATAGGGGAGGGTCAATTGCGGTGCAGGGAAGGCATTTATACAGTCGACATCTCGAAGTCTAATTGGCACTTGATAGATATCGTGCGGATAAGCCACTTCCAACACGCTTTGCTGATATCTGGCGGAGTATTTTATCCTGCACATCTATCAAGTGCGACGGCTTCACGTCCATTTTCCGTGACACGCCCAATCTGAATCGCGATATCGACTGGTAAACGCGCAGCATTTCTTTACCGTAAGTATGGACGAAACATTATTGGGAAGGAGGAGGCTTCAGCACGCATGAAAAGTTTCATTTTCCTCGGAGTTGCTCCCTTCCTCTCCTAGGCTTACTCCTAGCTACTCACTAATGGTGATTTTTTTATGTTGCCTTATACAGTAAAGGAGAGGGTCGGGAGCAATGTGGCTCGGAGAGGCTACTCTAGGTCTGTTAGAACTAAGCCTAAGAGCAGGGACAAACTCCGGAGAATACGAATATTGCTTCTGCACACCGAAGTCCCTCTCCTCTTCAAAGGCTTAGTCCTGAAATTGAACGTTTTCCGTGATCTTGACGCGATGTTACGTGATGCCCCCCCCCTGAGCCAGATGCGCAATGGTCGTCAGTTTTTTGTTATTGAATCATTCACCACAAAACGCGCACAATAAAAAAGCTACATGAAATTTTGTGGCAGGCGCTCGCCGGCAGTTGCAACTTCAAAAGAGCTAACTTGACAAACATTGGCTTGAGGGCGTTTCAGTGCATCTGCATCTACCTCCTGAATCAGGGTGGACCGCATCCCGTGCTAATGTGTTGTCCCAATAAACGTGTGACTGTAGAGTAGATTTTGGAAGTGGAAGATATAACCGGAGAGAACAAACGACTTCTTTCGAGAGAGCGGATGAAGAAGATTGTTTGTACACTCCTGAAGTTTTCGTCTCCTCTAAAGTTTAAACCAAGAACTGTACACAATATTCTTAAGACAACTCGTTAGCTAGTTTCAGTGTTTTGATTGTTGCAGGATGCATTCTTCATTCTCGTGCGACTTGGATCTAGTCATTGTGAAAACTTGTTCTGATATAGTTACTATAATGATCTTTTCACACACATAAATGCCGTTTTATAAGTAAACAGCAAATATATTATTTACTAGGCGTAAAAGGGGTGTGCATAAAATTAAAATAGATGACCAGCTGAAAGGCATCGTCAAGAAAGTAAGGACATTAAATAAGCAGTTAAAATGATATAATCTGCGGTAAGTCAAAAACAGTGATATCGTGGATTCTGGTTTATTTTAAGTGGAGGGGAGGGGGGGGGGGAAATGGGGTCTAAAGAAAAACACGAGAGATTCGAAAAAAACACTCAAGAAATGCGCGAAATGGACCCTTTGTCCGTCGATTCATTTCTGTGATGAACCAATCGATCCAGAAAGAGGCTTTGGCGACGCATAGTCGGTGCGGGCGACAGCACGACTGAAGTGTCGCACAGCAATTGCATGCGTACGATGTGAACTTTGCCTGAGTATCCGACGACTAATCAGTCACGACTTGCGACTTGCTCTGTCGGCGACCGACTAGCGTGCGCCCTTTACGGACGTTACTCCGCGACATTTCTCATCAAGCGTGGCTTTATTTGCTTGCGCTTTACCTACGCAAAATCAGATGATGGTGGCCCAATTGAAGTGAAAGTTTCTTTTTTTCAGAAGACCGGCCTCACACTGGTGGCCGGGCGGTTGGAGCCGGCGAGTTTTTTCAGGGTTAGAGGCTTCATTGATGGCAAGGCTCACCGTCCCTCCCCTTTGCTTCCTTAGCGGTCCAAGCATACGTTCCCTAGCGCTATACCCTCCTAGGCACAATCCACCTTTGTCGCAGAAAGGCAAAATTTCTCGCTAATTCGCCACCCGTCCTCAATGTGCTATAGAAATATTGTAAAGAATACTAAGAATTACGGGTTCTAGCTTTGCTCCGGGATTAAGCACTTTTCATATCACGTAATCTGTTTCAAGACAATAAAAGTACGTTGAGCGCAGACCAACACCACGAGTGACGACGCTGATCAAGTAATGTATAGAGCTGTGGGTATGCAACTGATAGACATAACAGGATAATCCTTTCATTGTAGAAAACATTTACATTTTGGTGGTGGCCGTCGTACTTATGGTGTTTCTGCACTCCACGCACCTTTGGTTTCCTGAAACAGAGGGCACACAACATAAGGTGCTGCAGTGTTATCAAGACAATAAAAATAACGCGAAAATAAAATCGAATTTTTCTCATTACGCCGCATTAGTAGAGAGATGGTAAGAAGTTCGCTCTATTACGTGAAGATGTCGTTAGTTCCTCTAGTCAGCGATAATCAATCAAATAGTTCCATCCTAAGTGTCACGGGACCTTCCAGACAACCTAATATTTGAAAAAGATTTCATTTTAGGGAAGTATTAAGCTGACTATTTTTTGGTGAGAGCTGCCAGTTTCAGTATTTCAGGAGGTCAGAATTAACGAGAAGGCTAACATGCGCCGGAGTAGTGCGGCGGTATATTGGACATGAATCGTGGGTAAAAGGCTCGGTGTCAATCAACTTATGTCCAGATGCGCCTTGCATTCGTCTTCCATTCAAAATCGTGGAATACGGTATTTCAATGCCCATCCAGTTTGCACTGTAAATGCAGGGGCAATCTCTTTACAAGTCAGTGTCTTCATCCCTTTTGACGAGTCTGGTGCCATCAAACGATCTCGTGTAAATGGAATGCTCGTTGGCCTAGGCGAACCTCGATCTCCTTCCTGGGTCCAGCACTTTGGGTGCGGTGAGCAGCGCCACTTGCCTCTGTACCACTTTCTCTCCAAAATTGTTCATGAGCCGTTGTGTTCCAGCGAAATAACACGCTTCTCACTATACTTCCGGCTTAGGCGACTTCA